CGATAAATTGAATGATTGCTATTTGTTTTTTTTTTCGAAAAAGTTTATCTCTTATTTCAGCTTTTTGATTTTCATGTAAGAGGTATTTTTCAATCCTTCTTACTTGCCTAAAGAGTTGGCATCGTTTTTCTTGTTGTCATTTTCTTCCCTTAATTTTAATATCCAGGCATAGTGAGTATTTATATTTTAATGGAGGCAGAACAAAACATATCATCATACTTAACTTTGCATTTATTTACTTATTTTGATCGAAGCACGCCTATTTATCATCCTGTAGTTAATTAATTTTCAACCTGGTCGATTGCTGAGAAGCTTAAGTTGAGACTAGCGGATTTAACTCTCTTCTCTTCAACAGAACGCAAAAAGAAATTTTGGGTTCTACCGAGAAAAAGATAAATATCATTGAAGATTAACGGTTATAATACCGCGTTGTAAGATCAACACTAATAGCAATAAAGATTGCTATTTATCTATATAGTGATTAACTGTAATTAGATTTTAATGAATTTTTAAGAAAATATGAGATAAAGATTAAAAAACTTTTTTTTTTCTCTACGATTATCAGATTTCTCCAACAGTGTCACGCAACTAATATTCAACAACAGAAAATCCATATAATTTGAGTTGCTATAAGCAACTTATATTTGTTAAAAAATATTTACAAAGACAGTAAATCCTCTGACTTTAGAACCTCTTGTTTGTTCTTCTAGATGAATAATAATGAGCTAGATTAGTACTTCTCATTTTTTTTCATCGATGAACAAGTGGAAGTGAAATCAGCTTGCAATATTAGATTTTATCGCTATCGATAACTATTGTTCGATGCCCCGTTATCTTTTTACTAATTTATCCATTTATTTTGTTCTCTCATGATTAGATGAACCGATGCACCATTAAAACCGTCTCCTGTGGCGTTGTAATTATGAAGCGTTGCTTACATAAAATACATTTTCTTTGATATTAGAAAATATTATTGCTATGACATGAACATCCATCAGAGATATTCTATCAGAAGACGTCTGTAATGAAGTCCTACATGAAAAAATGAATAGTCTTTATGTTTTAATGTAACTTTTTTTGTCTGTACAGCCTATATTTCACATTTGTTAATTTCAGCATCAGTTTCATTTGAAAGCCGATATATATCAGTTGAGAAGGAGCCTGAAATAAAACATTGAATAACACAGGTAATAAGTGAAGATAAGAAAATTTATTCTTCACGATTGAAGTTAACTTTTCTCATCAAAGGAGTGCATTAGAAACCAATTTCTACACAATGCCACCTTTCGAGATCGCTTTTATGTATCAAATGGCGTCGAAGAATCTTTACAGTATCGGTGTACCAATACTGATCATTTTGGGAAGTATAGGTGCTTTGATCTATGGTCGACTTCACATATATTTTTTGAATGTGTTTATCATGTTACCATCATCTTATGTGATTTTGGCTTCAATCGATCGAACTTTAGTCACTTCTCGTAATGCATTAACATGACAACGAAGCACACGTCGTTTGGCTTTCTGGTCAATAGGTGGAATAACTCTTCTATGGCTTCTTTACTATGTTCACATTTGGTTTTTCACCAATATTCAATCACCTGCTTCTGGCGTTGTTTTTTGTTTCTTCCAATCTGGCATTTATGCTCAATTGATGAGCTATTCTACGATGACAATAAGTGGCTTTTTACCTCCTCTTCTAATGACAATCTTGGCCTCTTTGACAATGAAAAATTTTCGATATCTGCGAGTTCATTCAATGTCACATGAACATGCTGTTACTCCATTATCATCGAAAGATCGTCAATTAGCTATTATGCTGCTGTGTGAAATTGTTATTTCAGTAGTCTTTTCATCAATAGGTTCGATTCTTTATGTTGATACACAAAGAATTCCGAATCAAGGCAAAACAATTGAACAACGGGCTGTCGATAATTTTCTCCTGGAATTTTCTTTAGATCTGGTATTTGTACAAGCTACTGTGGCTGGCTATTCAAATTTTATCGTCTCAAAAACATTCCGTAAAAATCTTCAAAAACAATTTTGGAATATAATACCTAATGCATGTCGTCGAATATGGATCAATCATTTCTCAAATATGCCATCAAATGCATTAGACAGAACTGGCAGAGCTGGGACAATGCATCTTTTTTTTTTAACATTTATTTTTAATGTGCCTTATATTGGTTCACATGTTAAATGTAAAGAAAAAAGAACGAAGGGAAAAATATTAACGAGTAATAATGGAAGAGAAAGAAAGGGAAATTGAACAAGGATGTTCATAACTGCTATTCGAACAAACATAATAAAAGAAGTAACAGAAGTAGCGTACAACATTTAATTATAACGTCCAAAGATAAAAGATAGATGATACATAGATTTCACAACAATAGGAGCGTAATATAGCGTAGGGTTTACAACTAAAAATGCTGTTTGAATAAATTGAGGTGCAGAGACATCTATTCTTATATATCTATATTCATCCATTTTATCGCCGATGAGTTTACTTTCACAATTTGAGATTGAGATTTATGGTGAAAATAAAAAATATTTATAGATAAACATGTTTAAATAATATGTTGATTTTTTAAATATTTCATGTTACGGTATGTGATTTAATTGGAATTGTATCCAATCTTCCTTACTATGTTTTACTCTCTTTACTAGCCTGTTTAAAAATTTATTGTATGTTCTTAAACTCTATAAGCTACCTCATATCAACACAAATTGACAGCCTTTAAAACCTTAACTAA